GAATTCACTCAAATGCAGCCAGTTTTCAACCCCCTCTTGATCAGGGGTTCTGGGAATTTTTATTTTTTGCTAACAGGTTTCACAGCCTGAAAAAGTTTAATCAGTCTTGCACAGGACTGTTCGTTAATATGATGAATAAATTTTCTCAATAATTTTTGTATTGAGCTGCTATGAGCCTGTTTCTTTTCAGCTGTAGTTGAAAAGTGGATTACTGTCTTCTTTGTAGGGGCTGTGGCAATATCTCTTTCTTTCAGAAAATAAGGATCTCCTTTTAATAACCAGTGCACCTATCTTTATTTGATAAACAGTGCAATTGATTTGATAAAGTGCATATTTTGGCTTGAGATTTGAAAATGCTTCAGAAAGGATGTGACGGGCAAGTTTTATTCAATCTATTTATTTCATTCTAAAGAGGGCGGCCAAATTTCTTAGAAGGGGTATTTACGTGACAGCTGTTGAAGCATGCAACTAGTCTCCTTCTCTTTGGCTGTCGCCCAGAAGAACTGTTGAAATGTCAGAGCGATCTTTACAATGTCACTGTGAGTAAAACGAGGAGCCCTTTTAGATCACCAGCTCTAACTTAGATTTCTGCCAGATCATCTGCTTGCTAATCCCAGGTCAGCATTTTGGCTGTGTTTTGTAAAATCGTTGCTTGTTTTGCTTCTTCTGATTCCTGTGCCACTTACTTTGATGGCCAGAAGTAATTTATAGCAGTTGAAAAGGCAAGTGGACATGATGTAAACAACAGTCATTGTTAGTTTGTTGCATTTATTTATAGCTGCTTTCAGCACACGAAAACTTGTAGTGTGTTTAATTTAAAAATGATAAATTAGATATGTGCTGAAACTTAATGCTTGAAAAATGATTAAAATTTAGGGTTCCTGATATCTCTTTTATCTAATTCTTAGAACGATAGAGACTTTGGACTCAAAATTTTTTGGCCTGAATGATCATAATTTATTGGTTGTTCTTTTCCAGCACTACTTTCATTGAAAAATGGGATCTCCATCTAGGTCTCTTTGCCTGGAAGTTTATTTTCCATAACAAAGTGTGCCCTTCTTCATCCAGTAGAGAACAACTTGGTTTTTTCTCTTCCAGGCTCTTTTACATGGAGGCTGTTCTTACAGGAATTTTAACCTTGCCTCTGTTTTCTAAATCTGGTAATCGAATCTTGCAGTGATCTGAAAACAGATATTGTGAAGTTAATTACTCAGTATCATGCAAAGGGTAAGTCAGCAACATTCTATAAAAAGAGTGTCTGGGAAAGACATCAGTGTCATAAAAGTAGTCAATAGAAAAAAAATTCTAGTTGGTGACTGCAGGATAGACCTTGAAGACAATATTGGGATTGCTTGTCACATTAGCACATAATTTCAAGTTTTAAATGCATTCAAAAACTATATAATATGCCCTTGTATAATGTCTACAGGTAGTCTTTGACTACAATAGGGACTGGAAGATTCATCATTAAGCAGTCATTAAGCAAGACATCACGTGACTGAGACTTGCAACCTTCCCTGCTGGCTTCCCCATTGACTTTGCTTGTTGGAAGCCGGCTGGGAAGGTCGCAAATGGCAATCATGTGACTGCGGGATGCTGCAACTGTTGTAAATGCATGAAAGTTGTCAAGCACCCAAATCATGATCATGTGACTGTAGGAATGCTGTGATAGTCCTAAGTGTGAGGACCAGTCATAAGTAACTTTTTTCAGCACCATTGTAACTTTGAATGGTCGCTAAATGAATGGCCATAAGTCAAGGACTGCCTGTATCATTATTTAAGGGTTTAGGTTGATTTTTTGTTGTGGCTTTTAAATTGTGTTATGGTCTTATGATTGTAAGCTGACAAGAATTGTACAGTTTTGGTGGTATAGAAGTGAAATGAAATGATAAATTAAGGCCTAATCAGTAGGCTGGAGAGTGCTACTATCAGAAGAACTGTAGCTCTTTAGGGGAAAAGAAAGATTGCTGGAGTGTTTCCACGAATAGGCCACTCAAAACTAGACATAGTCAGTGGTGATGGAATATTGACCATACAGAGAGGTGGAATTGGAAAACCAGAAGTATATAAGTGGAGGAAGAATAGAATGAAGTATCTAGAATGCTGAAAAAGAAGATTTCCACATATTTTGCTGAGCACCAATGTGTTCCTTCATATCCAAATATGTGAGTAATTCAAATCTAATATCTGAGAAGAAAACATCCTAAACTGTTAGTAATAGATCTATATTCCTGGAAAAAGAACAGTGTTCACCTGATGAGACCATCTGTTGATAGCTGTAAAGTTATGTCTTGATCTATATTTTTAGGACAGCCATTAAAATACCTCTCTGGTGAGAGTCATGGTACTAGCTGGATGGCATCTGTTGCCCACAGAAATGATTATATCTTTTTACTTGCTGCTCCAATTTGCTGCTCCAACTAGGTTTTAGTAGTAGGAAATCTAGTAAAATAAAGACTATGGGACACTTCCTTCCAAGAATTTGTTGCTTCTCCTTACACAACCTTTTTAACCTTCCTTCCTAAGCACCTCCTATGGAATGTCTTTTTAATTATCTTGAATGTAGCTAGATATAATCTAGGTTTTTCTCTGAGACACTTTTAATGGGCTACCTTTGAAGATGCTCCAGGGATTTCTTTGCCTTTGAGAGTTTATTCAGACAGTAACCATGTATTGAAACATGGAGTATGTCTTTTTATTCTCCATTTTTTATGCTGGAGTTTATCAGAAAATAATTAACTTTTTGTTAGCCTGGATATTAGGAAAATGTACAAATCTTTATTCAATACTTGCTGATTGACCCAGTGTGATTATTTATTTACCTTATGGCTAGACCTCTGACTCTACAAGGTATCCTGGAGATTTACAAAACTGACACAAAATCACTAAAACAATTCAGCCTGTCCGTACATTGCTACCTTGCCCAATTCCAAAAATCATAAAAATCTCACAGTGATTAAAAGCTCTGTGGGATAGCTCAGTTGTAAGTTACTGATTAGCATTAAGAAGGATGGTATCTGGATCTTTGGGGGCATGCTCTTCCATTAGGCTTGAACGTAAGCTAAAAAACACTGGATTTTAGTTCTCTCTTCCCTAATTTCACTTTTGTGGGACTCTTAACTTCCCAGCTCATAAGCACACTGGATTGGGTGGTTCTACCTGAAGGAGACAATCTGCAGTACCCAGGCGCCAAGCCATAAAAGACTTTATAAGTTAAACATCACACCTTGAATAGTAGTCATAAATTTACTGGAAGCCAATGCAGCCCCCACAAGATTTGTGTTATATGATACTGGTGGTATTCTTCTCCCCTCCCACCTACCTCAGCAGAGGATCACTGCATTCTGCACTGATTTTAGAAAAAAATACATGGAGCAAACTGAGATTGCACATTAGAGTTGTATTATTGTGTTCTGGATTACTTTGGAGATTTTGGCCCTTGCTGCTCTCTCATGAACTAATCTGAAGCTTTTTATCCATTGACCAGGAGACTAAGAACCACTGGGAGGCTTCCTACAGAGACCCACTTGGCTCCTTAGATCAGCCACAAAAAAGCAATTGCAAAGAGTTTGCTTCATCCTTTCCTATCAGATGGAACATTTGCAACTTAAAATTAGTGCCCGCGTTTCTTATTTTCTTCTTCTCCATACACTATTCCTTTTCTTTTGTGCTGTGTCTTTGAGGTCATAAGTCTGAGATTTATCTCAGGAACTATCAGTGATATATTTTTGCACACCACTGCTTGCTTGCTTGCTCATTAATAGGCTGGCTTCCCTCCATCTTTGGAAATGCTTCAAATAAGTTTTTTTAAAAAAACCTTCAAATGTCATTAAGTGTCAGGACCAGTGGTTTGAGGCTAACGTTTTGCATGAAAACCGTGATTCCATTTTCAAGATGTTTATAAGTCTCGTAGAATGTTTTGCCCATCTTAAGAAGTTGATACAGTAATAAAAGCTATTTAGATGGCAAATGGTAGTCAGAATTGGTTCAAGCCATTGTGGACCCTGAATTAAAAAGTCTTCCTTGCCCCCCTCCCACTCCATGTGCAAGAGCTCAGCAGAATTGTACTGAAATCATTCTTCTGCATTGGGGATTGGATGGGGCCTCACCTTCTGCTGCATCTCAGATATAGAACAAATCAGGAATGCATAAACCAGGTATTGTGGAATCCACAGGCTATGTTGTTCAATTTTTCATTTTAGGGCTGGCCCCTGCCATGACTTCGTGGCAGAAAACTTGCTGTGCGTGCATTCAGTCCCAGGATTCAGTCTCTAGAGCAGGGTTTCTCTACTGTGTCAACTTTAAGATGTGTGAACTTCATATGCTGGCTGGGGAATTCTGGGACAAGGGAATTCTTCAACAAGGTTGAGAAACCCTGTTCTAGAAATTTTAATTAAAAAGATCTTTGGTAGCAGAACTGTTCGCATTTCACTCACTAATTGTAGAGTAGAAATGGTTGAATATGTTTTGTTTTCAGCCAGAATACCTGTTTTAGGTACTTAAAGGGTTTTAATTTTCATAGCTGAACAGAAAACATGTGCTTGAACTGGACCGGGAAATCATTCCTTTGAGCCATTCAGGAGTGAGTGATATATTCCAAACATGAGAATCCTTGGCTTTGTGGCATTCATGCTACTACAAATCTGCTATGGTTTTAGGTGTTGGGACACAACCGTTCAGTGTTAAATCCCACTGGTGGGGCTAATTGGGAGGTTAGATTTGGATAGTCAGATCAGGTTTTCAGGGTGTTATCCTTAAAAAAAAATGTTTTGTAAGTCTTGCCAACTTGGTTTCATGGTAGATACTGATATTACAGTTACAGACTAGTTAAGTGATCTTTTTCATGTTGAAGTGTTTTCATTGTGATTTGTTTTAATCTCTGATGTTAGTGCTTTCAAGCACTTTGGTACCAAACCAGGAAGATGAGACAGACATTTCAAAATAAAATAAAACTCTTTGGTCTCTGCTTCAGTGATGGAATGGAATGGCAGAGAAAGAACCTTGAGTTCCCAATCTGAGCAAAGCAGCCTGCTGGACTTGTCCTGTAACGTAACTCCAGAAAGCTTTCTATTGAAGCCAAACCCTGGGAAAGATGATTTACCGCCATCCCCAGCAGTTGATGCAGGTAAAAGCTGTTACTATTCTTGCTCTCGCTTAAGTGTTCCTTTCTCAGGAGACCCAGGCAAAGGAAGCAGCTTCTGCCGACAGGTCTAGTGAAAAAATTCAAATCAAAAGTAGGAACTCGTGCGCACATGTCAGTATTTGCCTCATTAGGCATTGGTCTCGCAGCGCTTTTTAGTTCAAGAATCAGATAGCAGCATTGTCCTGAACAATGTCATCTTTCACAAACTCCTGTGTTGGCTGGAAGCAACCTCATTTTTGCTGGGTTTCAGCAGGCTTTTTTACCTAATTCTGTCAGTTCTCTGTTTCCCAGAGATGGCTGTCTTGCCTGTGTGCTCTGAGCAGCTAACATTACTTTAGTTTAAAAATGAGCTTTAGAACATAATTATGCTTGGAAATAAGCAGAAGTATAAAACATACAAATACCATATGCTAAGTTGTTTGCTTTTTAAAAAAATAGTGTTTTTGTTGGGGGATAGAATGTTGATACTGGTTGGGTTCCCACTTCACATGAAGCCATGTTAACTCCACTGAAAAAAAGACATTTCAACAGCTTGCTCTATAAAAAGGGGAAATAATGTGCTTGATTCCACGGCACTCAGGCATGTTAGCCCCTGATCTTGTTCACATCTGTCAGTTTCTTTTTCTTTTAAGAAAGATGAATGACAACAACCTTCTATCAGCACTTTTTGATAAAATCTAGACAAATTATGGCTGGGTTCACACAGCACCCAAAGGGCAAGGCTTGGGGTGCTTGTTTGTGGCTTCATATGTTGTGTAAACCCAGCTTTGGTGGTTTGTAAACCATGGGCTATGGCTCAGAGTATTAGTTATGTGTGGTTTATTCGGTAAATTATGGCTAAATAAACAAGGGCTTAGTTAGTGTGTCAGTCTGTAGCAGCCTTTCTCCAATCTGGTGGCCTTTTGTCCTGTTGGAATGGTGGAGTTAAAGTCTAACACACCATACAAAGTGGAAGAAAAGTGAGACTAATATATTAGTGGGGCAGACTTCAAAGTCTCATTGCATTGCATCATGCCACGCACTCTAAGATAGAAAAGTGCTCCATGATTTGTTCATCTGTCTTTTTCATGTTTACATAGGCAGATTAAATAACATAAATTGCCTTCTGCCTCCTTGACTCATAACAAATGATTTGTGGGTTGTGTTTATTACTGTGTACTAGACTTCAGTAAGTCATGCAAGTTAAGATTCTTGTGATTTTTACATCTCATAGGTTTTGTGTAAAACCAGCACAGCATTTTAACTTTCTTCAAAATTGTTCTAGAAGTTAACGCATGGTTTTAAAACAACATTATTTTCTTTACCATAACTCTGTGTTCTACTGTTGACTGATGAGTCAGGCCTCTCTCACCCCAGCAGTAGAGAATTCTACATTCTCTTTATATCTGTCTTTTATATTGTGAATTGCTGCATCTGTTGACATTGTATTGCTAAAATTATTTCATGTATTGTGAAATTCTTTCACAAAGGGATTTCTCCATAGTGGCCAACATGTTGCACCTCGTAGCTTGCACTATTTAATTTCAACAATCCTGTTTCCTTTCTTTAATTTGTGTAATGACTTTAAATCTTCCGTATGACAGGTTCTTGTTTTAGCTGAGATAGTTCTGGTGTGTTATATCTAGGGAGAAATTTGTGGCTTTTCTTCTTTTGCTCGGATCTCCAGTTGCAGCTTCTGGATTTTGATTCCTTGCTCCACTATTAACAGAGATTTAGATTGCAAACAATAAATAAGAGAGGAGTTAGAATACCATCTCTGCCAGCACTTCTCTTGCAGCCATAGCTGATGTTAAAATAATATGTTTGTCAATTCTAGCTGTCATCATTCTCTTGGGAAATAAATAATTGGTGGTTCAACCTCAAAAGACTAAAGCAAATGATTGCATTGTTTATTATTAGTGCCTTTTTTCTTTCTGTTGTAAATGTGTAAACATCTAATAATCTTTTCTAAGTTTTTTTTTTTCCTGCCTTTGAAACATGCCAGAAATGCTTTATTTTCTGGCATAAATTTATTCTGGCAGAGTTCCAGAGGAAGAAATGGCAGACTGAAGATGGCTCCGCAAAAAGCAGAGCCGATGACAGTGACAAAGAATGAAGAGCTGGTGAGTAGACCAGCTCTTCGGAACCTCTCTGGACAAGGAAAGGGTGGGAGATTGCCCACATATGCTCCAAACAGTTGTTTCTCATGAGGAGACCATAAGACAGTGCTCCCTGGTGGGTTTTGAGCGCTGGGAGATGACAGGGAGATAGCCATCTTGCTCACAACCGCAGTTGATGCCTTTTAGAGGACACTTAAGTTCACAAACTTCCTTTTCTAATCACATTCAGAAATTGCTTGTTATCTACTTTTAAGCTATTAGAGACCTTTGGATCAGCAAGTTTGAAAACGCTTGGTGAGTTTTCAATCCTTATTAATTAACCTTTCAATCCTTAATGAAAGAAAATTTTAATCATAAGTTTAAGAATTTAAAAAATGTGAAATAAACAGCAAAAAGCTAAATTAGCAAAAATCTAGGATTCTTTGATCCTAGAAAGTTATAAACAGATTAAGCATACAAATAAATTTGGAATAAGATTTTGGAATTAATTATAAAGAATCTTTCCTGTGGGAAATAGATTTGTATGGACTTTTGCAAGACACAATAAAGATAAGGAATTTTAAAAATTGGACCCTAAAAAGAACTAAAGATTTTAGTTAAAGGAGAACAATATACAAGCATAATTAACAGCTATTAATTGGGACATATAAAATGATGCAAAATATTATAACCTTGAAAATACTGAAGGACCCTTTTGAAAAATGGAATCAGAAGTTAGTATCAATAACGTCAATAGCGATGTTTACTTCTGTGGATAGATCGTGTCCAAAAGTTGTTATAGAAGAAATGGCAGATGAGGAACAAGCTTTATTTGACAAGACAGAGATGGCATTGAAAGTGAATCAACAAATGATAAACTACTGGAATGACATGGAAAAGGATGTTTCACTGGGCCTACAAAATAAACCAGTCAATGTTTTAAAAATCAAAAGGAAAATACAAATTACAAAATACAAAAAAACCAAGAGAATGACCTGGATAATTTTCTTATATTGGATTTACAAAAGAGGCTTGTTAAAGCTTTGAAGAACCTTATGAGAAGGGACAAAGAAGAAATGAAAAGAAAGCAAATTCTACAACATTATTTGAATGGACTAAAGTTAAGACTTAGAAGTAAAATGAAGGAATATAAAGTTGGTTTAGTAACCCTTAATGGACTTTCTGCTGACGCTAGGACTGAAAAGATGATGCTTTATGGATTTGTCTATAGATAAGAGATGGGATATGGGATGAAGAGATCATTGGTTGTAAACTAAGAGAGGGTGAAAAGTTACAAAAATTATTTATACTTGTGATGAAGATTGGAAGTCACTTCTTTATATATTTCTTTTTTCTCTCTTTACTATATTCCTTCCTTCCTTCCTTCCTTCCTTCCTTCCTTCCTTCCTTCCTTCCTTC